ACAGCTGTGCCCGCCTGGGGCCCCTCAGACAGCAGTCGGCGGCCCGGCCTTCCGCCCGAGGTCTCCCCCCTGGAAATGAGGGGGTGCTCTAACATCACCCCGTATGTGCCCCCCACAAGTAGGGGGTGACACCGACTTCGCTCCAGGCTCCCTCCTTAGAAACCAGGCGGCGACCACGTTCCTGCGAAGGGGAGTCCTTACGGGGGGGTCCCTCCCCGAGGCCGGGTGGCTGCACCCCCTCTCCCCCCGCCACGTGACTAGAATCCGCTCGCCGCCTCCTCACATCTCTGCTTCCCGCCTTATCTCATACCTGCCGGCTGCCTTATCTCATTTCCTTTTGCGTTCCTCCCCGTATCCTGAGCCCCAGCCTGTTATCTTCGCGGCAAAAATGTTGGGGGACAGGGCCCAGGCCACGAAGGGCGTTCCGGGGAGCACCGTTCGGGCTCGAAAGGAAGCGGGTGCCTTCCCCAGGCGAGGGGCCCCAGGGGTGCTCCCACCCTAGGCCGAGCCGGCAGCCCCAAAAGTTCAAGTGTCCCAAGCTGACTCCTTCAGATTGCACCGTCAGCGCTCCGCCGCTGGCACCTGTGGCTGCGGCTCCCGGGGAGCCAGGGTGAGCCGCCGGGAGCGGGGAGAGAGCCTGTGAGCAGGACTGAGCCTCCCTCCCCCCACAACCACCTTCCCTTTGGAAGGACCCGTGTTACTATAGGTCAGAGGTGGGAGATGCTCATGTCCGCGTTGCTAATGGCCGAGCAAAGGCAAACGAACTCTGCAGCTTGCATTGGTGCATTGATGTTAGGAACTCTTTTCCCTCGGCTCATGTTACCGTTATGCCGAGTTCGTGCCGCATATGAAGTTCTTGTGTCTCTAGTGCGTTCTGCCTCTTTTTTTTTTTTTAAAGAAATGATCTGATTTCATAAATCCCACACAGAAGAAGTGTGCCCAGCCTTTGTTGCTAATTTCATTCTGTTTTTTTAAAGCCTCACCAAAAGCTCCATACTTATTAGGACGAGACCAAAACGACCCAGGGAGTAGGAGAGGAGGTCTCGGAAGGCCATTTGAGCCCAGACAGTACCTGGGAAGAGTCACCTGTGCTCTTGTTTCACGCTTTTTCTTAAAGTCTTTGGGGCCGTGTCAGCTATGCAGTTGGCCACTCACAGCGTAGGGATCCGGGTTCTGAAGAGTGTTGTTGGGTGGATGCTATCTGGTCACAGAGAGCAACCGAGGGTTTTTTTTTTTGCAGGGAGCTGAGCTCTGCCCTCAACATGTTTTAAAAGCATTTCTCTTTTCCTTTAATAAGCATGGAGGGCTTATTTTCTTCTCGTCTTTATTTCCTCTGAAGTGCATGTCGTCACAGTAAGCTCTGAAGACCTACCTTCTCTTTCTTAGCTGAGAGAAGAATCCCAATTTTATCTAACGCTGTTGAATGCAGCCACTTCCGTTCCGTTTCATGTGCACGGCAGCTCAGCGCCTGGTCCGCATGTCGCCTGCTCTTTTGCTTGCTCCGCGGTAGTGGAAGAGACACCATTTGAGGTCCTCGCTCCCAGGTCATTGGGGTTTCAGCATCTTCTGCTAACTCCGAAGTAGCATGAGACTCTGAGGCTGCTTGAGTGCATCATTGACGTCCCGTGTCATTAAAAACAACCCGCCCGATTGCTGTTGCTTTTAGAAGAATATAGGAACTGAGCTTGGTCTGAAACTTGGACTGACCTGGCTCCGATGGAGGGGCCACTGCAGAGTTCCGAGCATTGTTACATAGCCGCCCTGTCACCCGCTGCCCCTGGGAGGGTGCCCCAGGAGGTGATGCGTGATAAGTGGGTATTCCGTATTCCTGCCTAATCCACACGGGCCACCGGAAGTTAACCAGAGCAAAGAAAAATTCCAGATCATAAAAGGAAAATGATCACGAACCTTGATTGGTTGCCTGCGTTGCACACGGCATCACGTGTTAATACCTGCTCACACTGCTTTCAATGAATCTAACCTTGATTGCTTCTAACCTCCACTAAACAGTTGTGAACGCTGCTGTAGTTTAGCCTGTGGCGCTTATGGTCAGAGGCAACCATTTGACATGGCCAGCCCACCCGACGCGGTCGCCTCGTCTCCCCGAGCCTTCTTAAGGTCTGGTAAGTGTGGAGACCGACCCTCCCCGGGGGGTCGTTTTACTTACCTTTGTTTTTGAAGTTTGATGTCGCCAGAGGATAGCGTTTGGATTGCGTGCCCTCTGGTGGGCCCAGGCCTGCACACCGTGGTCCCGCTCCGGTTGGCGCGGCTGCTGTGGGCACCGTAGGTTGAATGTGGCCCGGCCTGGGGTGGTCGCGCGGCGTGAGAAGTGACGGTGGAGCCGCAGTTGTCAAACGGGCACATGAAAAGCTTCGTAAATGGCTTTTGGCGTCTTGCGTCATGGAAGTAACCTTGCAGAGTTGGGAATTTTCGGTCAGCCTCCCGATTATTTTCTCGTCAGCAGCTCGCTGTGCAGGTGTTTTTACACATTTTCACAGCGGGAAGGGAAGCTCACTTGGTGAAGAGATGAAGCAGCTCACCCAGGTCCCGAGACTTAGGGTTTGAAGCCACGCGATGCGCTTGGTAGACGGGCTGGGGGGGATGTGGGCACAGTGGCTCGTAGGCGGCCGTATTGGTGAGACCCCTTGCCTGCTGGACGGAGGCTGTGGAGCTGCTCCTCCCAGGGGCCTGGGTGTTGAAACAGGTTGGAGGAGGTCCATGCATCCAGGAAGGACCAGCTACGCGTTCCCGTTTGGAACCCGGGCCTTCGGATGGGGCCAGTTAAGTGGCCTTGGCTCGGAAGTGGAGGCTGGAGTCCTTAGGCTTTTCCTGTAGGTGGGCGCCACCTCGGCTCAGGGTGTGGCTCAGGGGTTGAGCATCGGCCTATGTACCAGGAGGTCACGGTTCAGTTCCCCGTTGGGGCATATGCCTGGGTTTTGGGCTTGATCCCCAGAGTAGGGTGTGCAGGAGGCAGATGATTCATGATTCTCTCTCATCATTGATGTTTCTATCTCTCTCCCTGTCCCTTCCTCTCCGAAATAAACTATATATAAAAAGAATGTCTAATCCTCAGGACCCACTAACAGGTGAGTGTGAGATGAGCCAGCCAAAAAGTGACAGTGAAAACGTTCTGTTTTCTCCATAACCATTTACTTCCATTTATATTTCAAATCCTGTTTTGGCACGATGGAGGAGAAAAATCTTGAAAAAAAACAAACGAAATAGCTCAGGAAAGACTCATTCCAGGGAGATAAAAAAGCTTCTATATTAAGGACTGAAAACAATTCTTGTCTTCAGTGGTCATCAGCTAAATGGCAACAGCGTATGCAACATTGCCAATGTTCGACTTCTGATTTAGTCTTTGAACTGAGAGAACAAGGGGATATATATATATATATCTTATATCTTTGGACTGTGTTTTCTTTCGTTTAAGCACCAGGCTGTTCCCCACTTTGGCAGTCCCGGTAGGAGCCCGGGAGTTTGCAGGGGCTGGCAGTTATGGGGAAATAGAATGCTAACGGTGAGATAGGCTTTCCTGTGTCGGCAGTCCTGCACATTTCAACACCTCCGAGCGGCTTTGACATTGCACAGCGTTTGAAGGCACACACAGGAGGCGTTCCCAGCACCGCGTCGTTACACTGAAATAGAATGCGGCCAGAAGCAAAATAGAAAAAGACCCACGTCACTGCCGTTAGCCATTTTACAGACGATTCCTTATTCTTGACTTGTGATGTGTATACTTTTTGGAGGTGCCTCTACCCAAAGCGTAGTGATGACTCTAAAGAAATACTGAAAACGTTCATGTGTTAAAATGTGAATACACAGGGGGGTTTGTACATACAGGTTATGGGCTCATGTGGAAATTCCGAGTTTCTGTTGGAAATGATTGTTTCCCCGCGGTAGTTCCTTGGAGGTCGTCATTGTAGGCGCATGTTTTATGGAGTCATTTAACGGTCATTTCAGAGCTCGGGTCCACAGCTGAGCTTTTCCTGGCCCAGATGAAAGCCCGTCTCTTGCTTTTGGAAAACCCCTTTCCAACGTACCTAGGTCGTTTCATGTATTTTAATCCTCTTTATCCCTCCTGGAATGGTCTGCCCTTTTGTCCGTTTCTGCTCTTTCTTGAATGCATTGTGTGTCCTGCATTTCTGTGTGGTGCTTGTGCTGTGCTTGGACTGCTAATGTGTCAGTCTGCGCTGTGGCCGAGTATAACTCCTCTTGTTCAACCGCTTAAGCCCAAAGAAAGATCTGAATGTCCAGCTTCCCTCCCTCCCTCCCTCCCTCCCTCCCTCTCTTCCTTTCTTACTTTCTTGTATTAAATTTTAAAACTTTTTCCATTACAGTTGATAGACGATGTTATATTAGTTCCAGGTGCACAGTGTTGTGATGAGACTTTACATCTTTGAGACTTGGTTTTCTTGTCTGTAAAAATAAAGATAATAATATCCCCTGAAGCTATTATGGCGAGGATTAAATAAGGTGCTATGTATGTGAAACACTTGCTATTAAGGAGCTGGCCAGCACATTTTAAATATGTTCTTATCTCTCCTAAAACACGTGTCTTGTTCAGTATTGCTGGTGTGCATTCAAAAGTGGGAATTACCCACACCAAACACGAGTGCTTATTTCTGTCCCTCGTTCTGTTGTCTGCCCTCTGAGCAGCCGTTTGATTGAGGAAACAGGTCAAGCTGAGATGCAGGTAGCTCAGAAGGCAGCGTCTACTGACTGGCCTGTCCCTCCCTTGCTCACCACCAGGCATCAGCTCCCCGTCTCCTGCAGGGATTGGGGGGGGCGGGGGGACTTGGTTGAAGGCCTTTCTGGAAGGGGCATTTGAGCTGAAGGAGAAAGCAGGAGTCACACGAGACCTTAGGGTCAGGGCTCTAAGAGAGGATGTTGGGGTGGAGCGAGCGGCACAGAGAGGAGCTCCAGGAGGGCCAAGGACAGGGCTGACCGTGTGGTGCTGCGGGTGGGTCACGGGGCTGCACGTGGAAACCTGGGCACCGCGGGGAGAGCCTGGAGGGGGCCCTGCTCGGGCTGCAGACAGGAGGCGGGCCTGCCCCCTGGGCGCCGTCTCAGGCTGCACACTTCCGAGTCCTTTTATTTCACAGGGACTTAGGGTCCTCTCTGAGCGCTGTGTGTGGTGTTAGGCTGGGCATTGGCAGAGTATTAATCATTTCCGTTGGTTTTCTCTCCGCTTTGATGGGAATTTTTTCTGTTCAAATTGAGGCCCTTTTGAATATGGCTCGTCTAAGCGAGTTGATTTCAGACCTTTACGTCATGTTTGTATTGAACATCTTTAAAACGGTCTGCCGGTAACGGGCATTTCTGTTAAATGTCTTTAAAATAGAGGTATTCAAAATCAGAGCTGTTTCCTTCATGTACATATTTCCGAGGGGAATTATCTTTGCTTTGTGGGCTCTTCCTGTGAGTTGTTATCTGCTGTTTCTATCAGTTCAGAGATCCTTGTTCACATGGAAATACACCGCGACGCTCAGCTAATTTGTTATACCCACTTAATCCTGATTCTCAATAGGCTTGTAGCTTCGATAATTATCATTTGTTCAATAACCACCAGGATGAAAAATCCTGGCAGGATGCAAAGTTAATTATTACCATTTAAAGGAATAAAAACCATCTGAGGATTAGATGCGATCCTTGGATTCTCTCCTGCTGCGTCACACGGGACAGTATTGGCGTTTGTACCCAAGACCTGCACCGCACGTCGGCCTTTCCTCCGCCCTGTTTATTCTACCTTTTCAATACTTCCTGGAGAGTCCTCTCCGCCACCCTGCTGTCACTGTCTTTTTAAAAAAACACGTTTTTGTTGATTTTGAGAGAGAGGAAGGGAGAGGGGGAGAGAGAGAACCATCGATCAGCTGCCTCCTGCACCCGCCTGACTGGGGAGTGAGCCCACAACCTGGGCACGTGCCCTGACCAGGAATCAAACTGTTGACCTCTCGGTACCTGGGACAGCTCTTAAGCGCTGAGCCACACCGGCCAGCGAGGCTGCTCTTCCTCTTAATTCGAGGCCCGAGGGTGCATGCTGTAACCCACAGGGGACCCCGTGCCTCGGCTGACCTTTTCCCGGCCGCCCTTCACTTTCTGAAGGTTGGGTCACGTGGCGCCTTTCCCTCCACCTCCCAGCCCTCTCCATCATCTAAAGGGCGGGGGGCAGACCTGGGCCGCACTGTCCAGCCTCCCCCGCACGTGCTCTGTGCGGTGCTGCTGCCTGCGAGCCGCTCCCCGATGCCACCCTGTGCCCTGGCTCCTGCACCCTGGTCCCGGGGCCTCTGTGTTTAAGGCCTCTCTCTGAGCGCGGGTGCACGCCCCCCATCTTCTGTCCTGCTCCAGCGTCTCTCACGCCACATATTTCCCCAGGAGCCCGTCCCTGCAGCCCAGCTTCCACTGAATCGCTCCACTGGCTCCCCGCGCTTCCTGCGCTCCGTTTAGCTCCCACGTCCACTGAATCGCTCCACTGGCTCCCCGCGCTTCCTGCAGCTCCAGTTAGCGCCCACACCACTGCATCGCTGTTAGATACGCACAGATCCGTTCCCTTCTGGGCGACGAACCTCTTCAGGTCCGAGACGGACTGGGCTGTAGCTCTGAACCAGTAGCCCCAGATACGGGGCCTGGTGCTGGGGACTTCAGGTTGAATGAACTAATGAGTCACGCCAGGAAGAATCAGTGCAGTCTGGGTACCGAGGGAACTTTCCAGAACTCCGTGTTGCCTAATCATTTCACCTTTTTATTGGGCAGAGGGTCGTGTGGGCCCCACGTGTGAAGTGATGTAGCCGTGATGGTAGCCCAGGCCTGTTTCCAAAGCCCATGTTCTTTCCAAAGCCTCCTGGGTGTCAGACGCTCTCCCCGTCCAGGAGGTCTCTGCACGCTGGGGCCGAGGGCGGGGCGTGGAGAGCAGGCTTCGGACCCGGGGTTAATCTCACTCACCGAGAAGTGAAGGTCGGCTTGGAAACGGGTTGATCTGGTTCCTTACACGTTGGGTCAGTTAATGGCTCCATTGTGAGCGGGTCTTCACAGAAGGCAGTGGGTCGCACAGGACCTCCGTAGCCTCGGAGGGGTGGCCAGTGTGGGTGTGCGTGGGCCCTGGCCCGCCTGGCCCGCCATCTGC